GGGCTTCTAATGTCCTGGCCCCACTGGTGGACCTCCTGATGGCACCTGGTATTTCTGGCCACTGTGTGACACAGAGAGTTGGACTGGATGGGCCTTTGGCCTGATCCAATATTGGCGTCTCTTATGTTCTTATGTTCTTAAGAGGGCAACCAGGATGGTGAGAGGGTTGGAATCCAAGTCTTATGAGGAAAGGCTGAAAGAGCTGGGTATGTTTAGCCTGGAAAAGAGAAGGCTTAGAGGGGACATGATTGCCAATCTTCAAGTATCTGAAGGGCTGTCATGTAGAAGAGGGAGCGGATCTATTCTCTCTTTGCTCCGGATGGCAAGAAGAGATCTAATGGGTGGGAATTACAAGGGAGTAATTACTGGCTAAATATCAGGAGGAACGTCCTAACTGTAAGAGTGGCTGAGCAGTGGATCAGACTGCCTCGGGAGGGGGGGGAGGCTCCTTCGCTGGACGCTTTCAAGCGGAGGCTGGACGACCATCTTTCGGGCATGTTGTAGGGCTATCTTTCGGCTATGCTCCTGCAGAGTGCAGGCCAGGGGTTGGACTAGATGACCTGCAAGGTCCCTTCCCACTCTATGATTCTATGATTGTATGATTCTGAGACAACTGTGATCTCCAGCTTGGGAGGCTGAGAAAGGGTTAAGGGCCTGGGTGTTTGCTCTGTTCTCTTATCAGCTTTGGAGTGAAGGCAGGTCAAAGTGTGACTTTAACCTCCCGTCTTCCAGGAGGAGGAAGTGTCACATGGCTGTGGGGTGGGGGGGGAGAGGTGGAACACGACTGGTCACCAGGCGGCTGTTTCTCCATCACAATCCCCTGACTAGTGCCAACCCCCGCCCCCCCCCCAACACCGCCCAGCTCAGTGTCTGATAAAAATGTTCCCTGTCACGGCAGAGTTGCCTGAGTTAACACCCAGCGATGTTCTGAGCTGCACGTCAAGTTTGGTTCAGAAGGTTGGTGGAAGACAAACTGGTAAGCCGCTCTTTCTCATCCAAGTGGCAGACAACTTGCCTTCCAGTCATCATTGCTCGCTCTCTCTCTCTCTTGGTAAGCCGCTCTTTCTCATCCAAGTGGAAGACAACTTGCCTTCCAATCATCATTGCGCTCTCTCTCTCTCTCTCTCTCTCTCTCTCTCTTTCTTTCTTTGCACTTTTAAGACCAGCAAACTTTAATTCCGGGGGTAAGCAGTGCACACGAAAGCATGTCTCCAGCAATCCTCCCTCTAAGCTGTGGAGTCCTGTGACCAAGAATTGTACTTTATGAGCTACGGGCATTGAAGTGGTGAGCGAGCCATTTGGCTGCTGCACCAATTAGTCTGCTCCGGAGCCATCCCTTCCTGAGCTAAAACAAAAATGTGTGAGCCGGAGGCTAAAAAAACGGTGAGCTGGCTCACACTCACTCAGCTTAGAGGGAACACTGATCCCCAGAGTTAAACTTTGCTGGTCTTCAAGGTGCCTGACTGGACTCAAACTTTTGTTCTGTGGCTTCAGACCAACACGGCGGCCCCACCTGAAGATCTTCAGTGTATGAGCTTTTGAGAGCCGTCAACACTCCCTTCGTCAGATATAGGTAGGAATTGAGGTCCCTGCTTGGGCTCCGGCTTCTGTCTCACGAAAGGAGCCTTGATTCTCAACAGTTCACCCCCCAAAACCTTCTTGGTTTCTTGAGTGCTTTTGGACTCGAATCTCACTGGTCTACTGCAGACCCGCAGCCACTGAGGGAAAAGTTAGTCTGTTCTGTACTGGGACTGAAACATTGCAGGACGGTGCTGCCAGAGACAGGGTGAGCTTGGAGCCGAATAACAATAGACCAACAGGATTCTGGCAGGAACCAATCAAGGAGTAAAGTTTTGTAAACAGCCTCTCGTTGGGCGTGGGTTGTGTTGGGGTGTGGCCATTGCAGGCAATATAACCGGGCTGAGGCTCTGGTCCACAGACTTGTTCTTGCTGAAATCACTGAATAAAGTAGAGCTGATCACCAGACTTGGAGTCTGCTCCTCCGTGGAGCCCACTATTTAACATGGTCCCACAGAGGAGCCAAGCAGGAGAAGTGTCTTCTGAAATGATTTTTCTTTTCACTTTCCTGATCTCTTATACCACCCCAGCTTGTCTTGAAAAGAAAAAGAAAAAACCCAGAACAGGTGACTCAGTAGCATTTTCCGTATACCCGAGACGAAGGCCTATAATGGAACAGTCCTTTCTGGTGTGTCATCATGCTGTAGAATACGGGCTAAAACAACTAAATGTATATGAGGAAAGGTATAAAAAGGTCAAAGAAGATGGGGATGGCAAAGGATGAGATGGTTAGACAGTGTCATAGATGCAACGAACATGAAGTTGAGCAAACTTCAGAGGATGGCGGAAGACAGGAGGGCCTGGCGTGATCTGGTCCATGGGGTCGCGAAGAGTCGGACTCGACTGTGCGACTGAACAACAAATAAAAAGTGCTGCGAGAACTGAATGCAGGGAAGGCGACTGGAAGCAGCAAGAAGCGCTCCTTCCCTGGTCGAGTGACACACCTGTCTAATCTCACTGACTTAGAAGGGTGTAACTCCGCTTTTGGATTGCCCTGTAAGTGATATAAAAGCTTCAGAATGTTTAAAATACAACGAAAGTGAAACCAGCTAGAGCAGCAGTGAGGTTTTGTTTTGTTTTTTGTTCAATCGCACAGTCGAGTCCGACTCTTCGCGACTCCATGGACCACATCACGCCAGGTCCTCCTGTCTTCCGTGCTCTGGAGTTTGCTTAATTTCATGTTTGTTGCCTCGATAACACTGTCTGGCCATCTCATTCTTTGCCTTCCCCTTCTTCTGACCTTCAATCTTTCCCAGCATCAGGGTCTTCTTCTCCAGTGAGTGCTTCCTTCTCATGTGGTGGCCAATTTGAGCTTCGGCTTCAGTATCTGGCCTTCCAGGGAACAGTCAGGGTGGATTTCTTTTAGGATTTGGCAGTGAAGAGGACCGTTGAAATCGAATCCCACCCGCGTGGAAAAAAGTCGCACCGTGTTCTGTGGAGTTTCCTTTCCAGTCAGTTTGCCTTGCAATGAGATGCGGCTGTGCTATCCATGCACTGACCACATCCAGACTTTACCCGGGGCGGCCCATGGAGACTGTTTTGGAACTGTAGTAGAGGAAGAACAGATCAGCTGTGGCTGACTGGCATCTCTTTCACCAGTCGTTAGGCAGCTGCAGGACTTCTAGTGTGTTTCAGAGCCCCGTTCAAAGTGCAGTGTTTGACCTGTCAAGCCCGCCCGGTGTCCTGGGGCCAGGGCCGTGGGAGGACTGCCTGCTTCCCTGTCTTCCTGTCCATCACAGGTTCTGCTTTGTTTGCCTCCTGTCATCGAGGTGAGGCAGGCAAGCGGCTCCCAGCCCTTTTTGGTGTAGCGTCCCACAAGTCCATATTTGCTTGGTACAGAGAATCCACGGGGGACGACCTAGGGTATGTGCAAAACAATAAAACTGCACGCATCTGGGACTTTCGCTTTTGAGTCAGGGCCCACGGCTGGGAAATGCTGAGGCAGACCATGACGGGAGGAAGAGCCCGCAGCGTCCTAACCGCGGCATGCTCTCTCCCCAGTTGCTCGCCTGCTGCAGGCTTGGAGAACTTCTGGTGCCGGGTGAAGAGGCTTCTCTGTCCCCCACCCCCCCAGGCTTTGGAGTGAACTACAGGTTCTTGTGTTGCTGCTTGTCACGTTTTATAGTTGCCCTTTGCGTCTTGCTTTGATTTTAGCTCTAACACCTTTGCCTGCTCTTTTCTTGACGCTGCTTCAGAATATTTTTAGTTATGCCTTCAGCGGATCTTACGGGTAGATTTGGGCAGGGGTCATTTCCTGCAGGAGCGCACAGTAAAGAGCCCAGGGGGCGGGCACATGCAACAAGCCCCGCCCCCTGCTCCCAGCAGCCCTCAGTCAGAGCAAGAAGCAGCCAGGTAAGTTGCAGAGCCCCCCCACCCCCGGTCCGCCTTCAGGTACAAGCTCTCCCTCCTCTGTGAGGACAGATCTGCACGTTCCTCCCCTCCCCCAATGGCTAGCAATCCAAAACAGTCCAGTGGAGCCTGAACGGTGGGTGCTGCCTTCTAACACAGGGCTCTGCAGCTTACCTGGCTGCTTCTTGCTCTGACTGAGGGCTGCTGGGAGCAGGGGGTGGGGCTTGTTGCATGTGCCCGCCCCCTGGGCTCTTTACTGCCGGAACTCCGCTCCTGTGCGCTCCTGCAGGAAAAGACCCCTGGCTGTGACTCGCAAAAGCTCCTCCCCTGCCACAAATCTTGATAGTCTTGAAGGTGCCACTGGACTCTTGCTCTTTTCTCCTGCTATAGACAGACTAACGTGGCCGACCATCTTGGTCTATCTGAAGAAGTGAGCCGTGACTCAGGAAAGCTCCTCCCCTGCCACAGATTGTGGTAGTCTTTCAGGTGCTCCTGGATCCTTCTCCTGCTACAGACAGACTAACGTGGCCACCCATCTTGATCTAGCTTCACGTGTGGCTCTCAAAAGCTCATGCCCCGAAAACCTTGTCGGTCTCGAAGGTGCTGCTAGAGCCAAACCCAGCCGATCCAGACTCCGCGGCCATCCCGCTGTTCCCTGGCGCTTTCAGCTCTTCCCTCCCTTCCAGATGATGCGTTTCCTGTGCCTCTTGGGGCTCCTCCTGGCCGCCCGGGCAAGCCCCCAGGCCCGCTCTGAGCTGCGCTTCATTGCCGTGGGCGACTGGGGCGGGAAGCCCCTCTCCCCCTTCTACACGGACCGCGAGGTGGCTGTCGCGGAGGAGATGGCGGCCACGGTGTCGGCCACGGGGGCGGACTTCATCTTGTCCCTTGGAGACAACTTCTACTACAGTGGGGTGAACGACCTGTACGACAAGCGGTTCCAGGTAAAGCTCTCTGAGGGAGGGAGGGAGGGAGGGAGGGAGGGGCTTCTGACTCAACAGGACATGGAAGAAGAGGTCACCACACCTCGGATGACCTCCCTGGACAGAGACTCCGGGGCCTAGTGTAAAAAAAACAAACGAAGGGCGATCCTGCACTGGCTTTTCCCTCCGTTGTTTTACCAAACCGCACCTTGGGACAGAAATCCCCCTCCACACCGCATGCCACTTTTTCTTTCTTTGCTCATCGGGTCTTATGGTACCTTCTGCATATATTTCTGGCCGTTCAAGGGTGACTTTGCAGTCAGTACGACATCAGCCCGGGGTATTTGAATGTGGTTTAGAGCTGCACCTTTTCCTCAGTGTTGAGAAAATGTGGAACGAATGCCAGATGCAGAACCAGCCCCTCAAAACCACATTCAGATACCCCTGGGGGGCCAACACCATACTGACTGCAAAGTCACCCCTGAATGGCCAGCATAAAACAGCTATAAATCTAGGCAGAATGTACCATAAAATACGGTGATCAAAGAAAGTGAAAGTGGCATGCAGTATAGTAAAGGTAAAGGTT